TATTAGTGGCAAAACAAATTTTCCATTATTATAACACATGGAAGATGTTTCACGATGAAACAATCTTGCATTGCTATGTGTACATGTAGTTGGAGCAGGGAACTACATTCTTTGGTAGCATTCACTTTCATGAAAGTTTCTTGCACAATTGTGATATCTCCTATGGGTAAATGATCGATTATCTGGAGCATCTTCATCATCGAAATCATCATGATCGTGGTCAACATGAGGGATATTTCCTATAAAAATACATTTATGATGTACTATTTTGTTATTAACATAATAATATTTGTTTGGAAGTGTTTTGTTTTGTATTTATAAGCTCAGAAAAAATTACATGTCCAATATTAAATGTAATTATATTATATATCATATTTGTATGGGCATTTATTTGAATATGTATTGAAGAGGTTGTTAAATCAGTAAAAGTATATGAATTCAAGTATTTTTTTTTACCTTCCATTTTAACTTGATGAGGACTATCTGTCTACTGCCACTTGTGCTTCTATGCTCATAAGTTGAATGAGTAGGTGCATATTGGGTCAAATATGTATGTGCAAGTAGAGTCATTCTCATTTCCCGACTAAAAACATTAGGTGCAACTAAATTGCCTTCTTCATGAATGGTTGGCAAAAGTATTGGTTGTGGTCTATGCCATCCTGTTCGATTTCTTCTTGAGATTACATTGAAAAAGTTTAATGTGCAGCCTAAAAAATATAATTAAATATAAATAGTATTAAATGAATGTTAATGGAAAACTTAGAAGTTTAGTTGGCTAAATCATAATATCCTTAGATAAAATTTCAATACCTACCACTTGTTTGTGCATTTGTCGTATTATGTGATGTGCTTGCTCTCGATCAGAGGTTTGTTTGAGATTTTCATCCATTTGCCTTCTTTGTTGATAATTCATTCGCTTGCAAGTTGTTGTTTGTGTTGTTCAATAGTCAATGAAGCCATCCTCCGTCTTGCATAATTACGCTATCTTTTCCCTATCAATTTCTCTTTGGTGAACATTAGAGCCCTCACTTTGTTCGCGAATGAGCAACCTTCGTTTACGTCGAGTAAGATGACGTTGCTCTAATCTCGCGTTGCGTTGTTCCAATTCTCTTTCTTGGTCTTCAGTTTGAGCAACTGATTCCAAAATTAAGCGTTGCCTCATCTGTTATAGGTATAAAAGCCATCGTTCACGATTTTGTTGTTGGACATGCCTCACAGTTGATGTATTAGGGCAATCGTGGTTCATTTTTTCGAGGATTGTTAGCGAACTCACACTTTACAATAATAAATTCTACTCATGTTAAAAGTGTGCCTAACACTTACAGTAAAAGAAGGTTGGTGTTGCTAGGCAACCCTTTGAGAAGTTATTGGTTTTGAACAACACAAAGTTGAAAAGCAATTTGCAAATAATAATAATAATAAAATATTGTATGCTTTAGTTGGAGTATTGTGATTTTAAGACATTTAGGCTTGGTTTGGGGTACACTATATACGTGTGGGGATATATTTTCTGAGTACCAACACGTGGCAAGGTGACGCCGACGTGTCAGCCGAGGTGCCACGTGTCCTGGTCATGATGCCGAGGTGATCTCGGCAAGGCCGAGGTTATCTCCGAAGGTAAAAAATTAAAAAATACATTTATTTAGATCATTTCAAACAACCCCTTAATTTGGTTAACCATAAAGAAAGTAATTACTTAATTATGACATTGTTTTTATTTTTATAGTAATAATGAACTTATGAATTCAATTTTTTTTAAAACAGAATTTATCTCCAAAAAATTTGCTAAGAAAGATTATTTGTACTTTAGATTGAACTTTTATATGGTCGGAAAAATAAAAAAAAAATTTCATAAAAATATGAGCCTAAAATCCACATCATAATGTATACATTTTTTTTTTTTTTGGGTTTGTTTGTTATTTTTTCAATCAACATGTGCAACAAAATGGAATTATAGAATTTTTCATATTTTCAAAAATTATAGAATTTATACCTGAAATAAAAATAAATTGAATGTAATGAACAAAATGAATGTAAACAATAATTAAAAGGAAACCAAACACTCATAAAACATGTACGGTCAAAGCAGATAAGATATGCTAGCAATTTTTTTTCTTACATAATTACAGAATTTATACAAAAATTAAAAAAAAAAAACAATGACTAAGATGTATTTTGATAATAAAAAAATAAAAAATAAAAAAATACCTTTTTTTTTTGACTAAACAATTATTTATACTATAAAAAAAGCAATCACTGATAGAACACCTACAGTAAAAGAAGGGTGGTGTTGTTAAATAACCCCTGGAGAAGTCATTAGTTTTGAACAATATAAAAAAAACAAAAAAACAAATTAGTTAACCATAAAGAATGCAATTATATAATCAAGATGTTATTTCTATCTTTTTATTTTTATAATATATGCAATAAGATTTTTACATAGTGGGGTTGCATCATTGGTGTATTTTAATTTTTTTATATAATGGCGTTAATTAGGTGAAAAAACTTTTATGTTACGATATGTTTGGTTGGTAAAAATAAAAGAAAAATAATGTGAATCCTAAACAAAAAAAAGAAGTCAGTACATACCAAATTCGCCATTAAATATCACTTAGATTGAACTTTTATATGATGGGAAAAATAAAAAAGTCTTTCATAAAAATATGAGCTTAAAATCCATATCATAATGTATATATGTTTTTTTTTTTTTAATTTGCAATTTAGATTGAACTTTTATATGGTGGTTTTTATGAATAAATTTGTCATAAAAATATGAGTCTAAAATCCACATAGTTTTCGTAAAAATATGAGTCTAAAATCCACACCATAATGTATATATGTTTATTTATTTATTTATTTTTATTTTTATTTATTTTATTTTATTCTATTTGTAATTTAGATTGAACTTTTATTTGGTGGGAAAAATAAAAAAGTTTTTCATAAAAATATGAGCCTAAAATCCACATTATAATGTATACATGGTTTTTTTTTGTTGTTGTTGTTGTTTTTTCAATCTACATGATCAACTAAATGAAACAATAATGTATACATGTTTTTTGTTTTGTTTTGTTTTGTAATTTGGATTGAACTTTTATACGGTTGAAAAAATGAAAAAAAAAAAATCATAAAAATATGAGCGTAAAATTGACATCATAATGTATACATTTTTTATTTTATTTTATTTGTAATATACATTGAACTTTTATATGGTGGAAAAAATGAAAAAAAAATCATAAAAATATGAGCCTACAATCCACATCATAATGTATACGGACCTTTTTCTTCTTCTTGTTATTTTTTCAATCAACATGATCAACAAAATGGAAATGTGAATTTTTATTAGTTCTAAATTGTTAATTAATAAACATAAAAAATTAATAATAAATAAATACTATTTTTTTTACTAAACAATTACAAAATTTATACTTAAAAAAAAAAACAAACATTAATAGAACACTTACAATAGAAGAAAGTTGATGGTGTTAAACGACCCCTTGAAAAGTTATTTGTTTTAAATAGCACAAAGTTGAAAAGCAACCTGCAAAAAAAATAATAATCTAACAACAGGTCATCCCAAAAAAAGAAGTCAGTATCTAAAAAATTCTCACATGGTGATGAGGGCATTCATTATCACTTAGATTAAAATTTTATATGGTGGGAAAAATAAAAAAAAAAAGAAAAGAAAAAAAGAAATAGGATACCTTGAATAATTGAAGAGAAATCATTATTCTTATATTATAATTTTTATACATTATAATATGGATTTTAAACTCCACCAATACACAAAATAAGAAGTTTGTGAAACAACAAAAAGAAAGTAAACTTCTAAGTTTGAGTTTCAAAATTCGATGCACCTTTAATTTGCTTTCTCATGTTCTTATGTATTGCCTAAAAATTAAGGAAGCAATAGGGTAATAGAACAACACCTCCGTCTGAATTGATTCATCAGAATTTTTATGATACATCATAATAAAGTAATAAAATTTAAAAATAAATTAAAAAAAACTAAAGAAAAGAGTTTTAGTTAAAAAGAAATTTAGAGAAAAGTGGAAGAAGAAATTTTTTACGTAGTCTGTATTTTACATACCAATAACAAAAAAATAAATTATATAAAAAAAACATACCTAACAATACTTATTTTTATATTTTTACTTGAGTAACAATCGCTTCAAAAATTAATAAAATGATTAAGATTAAAAATAAGAATAACAACCGAGCCTAAACCATTAAAATCAGACCCGCACCAATCTTCCAACCATGGTTGAACCCATTCAAATTTGACTCATCTGACTTCAAACTATTGGGCGAATTAACTGAATTGAATTCGCTGATATAGAATCGTTGAGAGAGATTGGAAATTCTTTGAAAAGTTTGCGCAGAGGGATGAAGTAAAAAGTGAGGGAATAGATGTGAGGGATAAAGTAAAAAAATGTAATTGGGCAGTTAAAAGTGAGAGACGATGTAGGTGTGAAACAATAAAAAGTGAAAGAATAGAACATGTAAGTAGTGACTCATGCAGCTGTGGTTTTTTTTTTTATTGACCTTGTTTGGTATAGTTTTTTTTAATTTATTTTAATTTAAGCTATTTTGATATGTTTAGTTTAGTTTAATAATTCAGTTTATAACTTTTTATAAGTCAGAAATCAGCTTATTTTTTGAGGCGGACAGGAGAAGCTTAATTTATAAGTCAGAAATCAATTTATATTCATAGTTATAAGTTATAAACGGTTAAGGCATAAGCTATAAGTACTTTCATACAACTCTACCAAACAAAGCTATTATATAATTTTTAGGAGACAAAAATTTCAAGGGACTATTGAAAAGTTGGATATGAACTTATTTTTTAATCTTCCTATCTTTTCTAGATCACATAATTTTTTAATTATTTTATACAAATTTTTATAAAAAATTAAAAAATAACCTTATTTATTTAGATTATTTGAAATACTTCACTTAATAGATAGTATATAGCTATAGATACAGATAATAGATAGTATATAGCTATAGATACAGATATAGATATATAAAACTGAGGTTCATCCAAGTTCCACCTTTGATGGTTAATCTCCTTCTCATCAACCTCAGATCTAGGCTTTGGACACCAAAACCCTTTTCAAACCCTTCTTCTCTCTCTTCTCTTCACACTCGCTCTCTCTTACCCCACAAACACAAACCCACCAACTGGAACACAAACCATAGCTTCGTCCTCTCAAACCCCTTACTCTCCCTCTTGGAAAAATGCACTTCCATGGCCCGTTTGAAGCAAATCCAATCCCAAATGACCGTAACCGGCTTGATCTTAGATGGGTTCGCTTTGAGTCGATTGGTCGCCTTTTGTGCAATCTCAGAATCTGGTAGTCTTGATTATTGTAAAACAATATTGAACAATGCCCAAAACACCAATGTGTTTTCTTGGAATGTAGCAATTAGAGGGTATTCGGAGAGCGTAAACCCAAAAGAAGCTTTTTTGTTGTATAAGAACATGTTGACAAGTGGTGCATCGAGGCCAGACAATTACACTTACCCTTTGCTGCTTAAATGTTGTGCTCGTTTGTCATTAATTCGGATGGGTCATGAACTTCTGGGGCATGCTTTACAATTGGGTTTTGATTCGGATATCTTTGTGCATAATGCTGTAATTCATTTGTTAATGTCATTTGGAGAATTAGAGGTTGCCCATAAGGTGTTTGTTGAAAGTAGTGTTAGAGATTTGGTTTCTTGGAATTCTTTGATTAATGGATATGTTCGGAGTGGGAAAGCGCATGATGCTTTAAGGATTTATCGAGAAATGGAGGCACAGGGGATTCAACCAGATGAGGTAACAATGATTGGGGTGGTTTCATCATGCTCTCAGTTGGAGGATTTGAACCTTGGAAGGGAATTTCATCAATATATTCTAGAAAATAAATTGAATTTTACAGTTCCACTTGCTAATGCTCTTATTGATATGTATGTGAAATGTGGGAATCTTGGGGCAGCAAAGGTGTTATTTGACAACATGGAAAAGAAAACCATGGTGTCTTGGACCACAATGATTGTAGGATTTGTCAAATTTGGGCATTTGGAGGTTGCTCGGAGGCTTTTTGATGAAATGCCAGAGAAAGATGTTGTGCCGTGGAATGCCATGATAGGTGGTTATGTTCAAGCCAAGCATTGCAAGGAAGCGTTGGCTTTGTTTCACGAGATGCAAGCTAGGAACATAAAGCCTGATGAGGTGACTATGGTTAGCTGCTTATCTGCTTGCTCACAACTTGGAGCACTTGATGTTGGAATATGGATTCATCATTACATTGAGAAGCACAAACTTTCTCTAAATGTTGCCGTTGGCACTGCTCTAGTTGATATGTATGCCAAGTGTGGTAACATCACTAAGGCACTTCAGGTTTTTCAAGAGATTCCGGGAAGAAATTCTTTGACTTGGACAGCAATAATTGGTGGTTTAGCCCTTCATGGCAATGCACATGATGCCATATCTCACTTTTTGGCGATGATTGACATTGGTTTGATGCCAGATGAAGTTACATTTCTTGGGTTATTATCAGCATGTTGTCATGGAGGTTTGGTTCAAGAGGGTCGTAAATTTTTTACCCAAATGACCACCAGATTTAACCTCTCCCCCAAGCTTAAACACTACTCTTGCATGGTGGACCTTTTTGGTAGGGCTGGTCTCTTGGATGAGGCAGAAGAGATTATTGGGAGCATGCCAATGGAGGCAGATGCTGTGGTGTGGGGGTCATTGTTTTTTGCTTGTCGAATTCATGGAAATGTTGATATGGGAGAAAGGGCAGCTAAGAATCTACTTGAGTTGGATCCTCATGATAGTGGAATTTACGTTTTGCTTGCAAATATGTATGGGGAAGCTAGAATGTGGGAGAAGGCTCGGAAAGTGAGGAAGATGATGACGGATAGAGGAGTGGATAAGACTCCTGGTTGTAGCTCAATTGAGGTTAATGGTAGTGTTTTTGAGTTCATTATTAGAGATAAGTCTCACCCTCAGTCAGAGCAGATTTTTGAATGCATAGATCAGTTAACAAGGCAGCTAGAACTTGTTGAGTGCATACCTGGTATTCTTCCTCTGGGAGATAACTTTCTTTTTGGCTCTGAATCTTGCAAGCAAATTTGAATAATCTGGTTAGTTAGATCTCAATCTGCTTCTTCTTTTGGGAGATAACTTTCTTCTTCTTCTTCTTCAAGACTCGTTTTCAGATCATAAATCTGATTTTGGAAAGGTGTATAGATAGTTGTTATTGTGAATGAATTTTTGGTGACAACTTTCTGTGCTTTGGTTTAATTGCTAGGTTTTTGTTCGTTTACATGTTCATTATTTTGTTAGTCTGAATATCTGTGTTCTGCAATTAATCTGGTACTCATAGTCTTAAATATGCTCCTCATGAGTGGAAATTTTTTCAAAATTGTGTTCAGTGGATGATACTGAATTGCTATCTTTCGATTATCTTTGGCTGAAGTTAAAGTTGGAGGATCAGTCTCCACAATGACTATTGTCTCTTTAAACAAGAAGATTGGTTTAGGGGCATACAATAACTTTTTCCCCAGTGCTACAAGTTAATTATTCTCTATTTTATCTGCATGTGTGTTGTGTGCAAGCGTGTGTCAATATTTCTCTCTCTCTCTCTCTCTCTCTCTCACCTTTTTGTTCTTTTATTGTTAATATCTTTACTGATGCAGTAGGAATCTGGCCAGTTGCATTTATTCCAGTCTCCCCAAGGTTTTTGAGCTCATTGTGGGTGATTCCAAACCACTAAAATCCCATGACATGGACATGCCAACTACAAGCGATCTGTCATTGTTTTCCTATAACTGCTGACCTATGTCTGTTCAGCTCTGTCAGACAAATGGCTTTGCCAGCTTTGCTCCAAAGAGGAAGAACCATTCCTGCAGTGTTTAAACTGGTTGGCTGCTCAAGGTATGTGAAACATTCGTATAGTACCACAAATAAATATTTAAGGCATGTCAGTTCTCTGTTTTGTTGGCACTGACTTGGATACTTTTGGGTAATTATGGAATTGGGTTTTATGGCCTAACATCAAAGATGAAGGGATCATACTATGGAGATGGAACGGAGTTGTCAATATGTCATGCCATCCTGCGTCTGGTCTCGGTTTGCTATTTTTTGTATTTTAATGACTTACGTCCCAAAATTTTCTGTGCATTGCAAATTATTGCATGCTTATTGTTATTGGTGCCTGAACTTGTCCCCAGGCCTTAAATTTTGCACTCTAAGCCAATTTCCAATTTCAAGAAACATCGGCTGTCCCTGGAAATGGTATCCTTTAACCTGGTTTCTAAGGAATGCTTTTCTGATGCAAAGGTATTATTCTTTATTTCAGATTCTGCATGTCACGTGTTTGTCCCACATTTTTTGATGTTCTCCAATTTGAAATAGATGGTTCTATTAAGCAGTGATCGTAATGAGATTTATGTGTGTGTGGCTATAGTGATGTTTAAGCTTTTAAGGAGACTTGAACCGAAGCACTTAACGTCATACCAGCATGCTTGATTGACACAACTAAGCTAGCTTGCATATATCCTGAATTGTAAAGTTGCTTTGTTGGATACTTCTTATATGAGTATAAGATCTGAGAATGAAATTTTTGTTAGTTCTCATTACCTGGGTGTTTTTTTCTATCAAATAGATTTCAACATTAAACTTGAAACATGTTGATGAACACGTAATAGTTTCGTAATTAAGACTGACGTGTATTGTTACTTAAACATAAAAAATAAAAAAGATTGCGAGGCATGGAGCAAAGTGTTAGAGTTTGGCTATGGCAAATTCATAGGAATAGTACGCTAAAGTAAAACTAATAATTTACATGGATCCCAATATCCCAACCCAAATAACCTTATCATTATTCTGAACGTTAAACTTGGTAATCAGATTATTAATCATATTTCTTTGACAATGGGCTCCTAAGTTCTTGGAAAATAATGAAGATTAATTTTATTTTGTTTTAATGTCTCTATGTATATCCATGACAATGATTTCAAATCCCCAATTGTACCCTCTGCCTTCAATGTTATACTTGACGCAACAAGTCATTAACATTTATCTCCATTGGCTTCTATATTTGTTCCTGTAAACTCTAATGGCCCATGAACTCCTTTCAAATTTCCTTCAACACCACATTACTATGGTAAAATATTTACATTTTTCTAAAAGTTGGTTTAATTTCTTTTTTTTTTTTTTTGGATAAATAAAAGTAAATGGTTTAATTTTAAATCCATTTCAAAGAAGATCTATTAAATTAACAATCAATCTCATGATTCTATAACTCTCAAGACTTTTATCATTTTTATGATATAAAAATTAAAGTTGATTTTTTAATGAAGGTTTTACCTGTTAAAAAAGAGAAGTAAATAGGATAGGTTGGCTTAATTAATTTCATTCTAAGAGATTTATTAGTTACATATATTGATTTAATGTTAAAGACATGTATAGTGTGACTATGACTTGTGTGAGAATAGTAGGGGAAGAAATAAGTAAATTTCAAATAACAATAGTCTTATACCAAGGATCATCTTACTAGGAACATTTAGGAGAACATCACCCGGTGTATGTTATTTGCAGTCAATGTAGTTTTAGATAACTTTTAGCTAGAATTGTGGAGAGATACTTTAGAATCTAAAGGGTTTGAATTAAGAATGAATATGAAGTATAACTTTAACAAAACTAGAAGTAAGGATGAAATTAGAGTAAAACTTGATGGGTGAGATATTCCTAAGAGTGATCATTTTTTGGTATCTTGGGTCAATTATAAAGATGGATAGAATAAGAGGATGTGACCCACATATTTTGGGAATTGGCCTTTTTAGTAACTTTTTGATTTTTTACGAAAATACATATAAAAAAGAAGAGAGAGAGTGGGTTGACTTTTTGTTGTGGCTTTTTGGCTAAAATTGTTACTTCCCAAAATAGGCTAGTGAAATATTGGAGTTTGAATAGATTGTGCCTAGAGGGAGGTGAATAGGCCAAATTCTTAAAATTATGATTAATTAATCTCATTCCCAATTTTAATCTTTTGTACAGTTAATCAATCAACAAAGTAATCGATGCAATCACATTGTAAATTTATACAGAAAACCCAATAGAAAAATCTCCAAGAGGGAATAAAAAAACCACGGTCCCGGCACCCAACAAAATCCACTACATGAATCCAGAGTACAAGACACAAATGAGCGGACTTACAACCAATCACCTAGTGTACGTAACTCTGACGCCTTGAAGAAGCTCCATGTGCACAATCTGACCTATTCAACCTTCTTGATCTGCTAGACACAATGAAGCTCCATGCTTCAATCTTCATTCTTGGATGGCTTCAGATTACCCAATCGGCCTTGGGTGATAGAACGATGCAATGATATACAATGGTATGATGGTTTTTGAAAACGATGTCTCACATAAATCAGATATAAACCTTAGAATTTTTATAGAGCTTAGAGATAAAACGATTGTGTAAAATAATGGTTGTGATCCCTAACAATGAATTATGAACTGTTTATATAGAAAATCAGGGTTTCAAAGCCAATTTAGGGAAGGATTTGGAGATTCCGTCCTAGCTATAGATCCTCTTAAGTGAGTGATTGATTGCTACCCTTTTGACAGCAACCAATTGCCCATCCATCTCTGGTTGATCATTGTTTGCTGGAAAAACATTGTTTTTAATTTTGATAGAGGGATTGATCGCACTGTGATCTCATGTCGATTGCCAGTCTCTAGAGAAGATTATATCAAAAAGTACATTAAGGGGATTGATTGCTCCTAGAGGGGATCAATTGCCATACCGTTTTAAGTTCTAATGGAACTATTTCTAGAAACGTCTTGCGATCCATTAAAACACTTCTTGCCAACAAGTCCTTTTTCAGTTGCAATTAAAACATGTATGCAAGAGAATACCTGAGCAGTTAATGGAGTGAGGCTTGAATCCGATGTGCCGGGCTGACCGAGTGTGACCAATTGTTCAACTACCCATACACAACTAAATATTCTAAACTACATTACAACGTGACTTGTCACCAAAAAATGTCAATTAACTTTATTCGATTGCACACAGAATTAGGTCATGATGGATGAATGGAGCAGTGCATCAGGAGTGTGGTGTGATTTTAGGATTCCTATTAAGTTGAAAAGGAAACTTTATAGGACTACTATACGACTTGCTATGATGTATGCTACTGAATGTTGGGCAATTAAGAAAAAAAACACGTTTAGAAATGAGTGTAGTTGAAATGAGAATGTTGAGATGGATGAATGGTATTAATTTAGATAAAATAAGAAATGAATCTATTAGGAAGAAGTTAGAAGTGACACAAATTGAAGATAAGATGGGGGAATTTGGTTTGTGATGGTATGAATATGTGCAGCGCGGACCAATTAACATGCTGTTTGTATCATAAATTTCCTTATCAAATATAACAAGGTTACCTGTGCACAACCGAGTCCTTTTTGCTTTCCCCTATTCTTCATCCTCTTTTTTTCTGTTGTTGTTGTTGTTGATATGTTGCTTTTTTACTTCCAAGATCTTGGCCATTTATCCAAGTGTAAGGGATAAGATTGTTTTTTGTTCAAGACTTGCCTTTTGATTTGGATTTGTTTGTTTGTTTGTACACTGGTATTTTTTCTCAATGAGGATATTTTTATTTTCAATTATCATACATGAAATTGTTGAGTGGACTATTCATTTCGGATGCATGAAGTGATATGTTGCACATGGTGCATCTCAACACTACATGCAATCTCGGTATTTTCACATTGCGGACCTTGTGGTGCGTCACACAAGATACTCCTCTATACTTGAATAAACCCTCCAACTAGATGGTGGCCTTTGAATTTTTTTGCTGACAAAAGTGAGTTGCATTGCATTAGCAAAGCGTTATGAATAGAGTAGTGTCTTATATTGGTATATTTACATACTCCTGTTTGTATTACCAATTCTTGATCATTAAGTAATTTTTTGGTTTTTTGGTGCAACCTTAAGCAACTTTTTGATGCTTCTGCTTGTGCATATAACTTTGTTTTTAGTTGAAAATTTTATGTTCTTTGAAAGGAATATGTAATATTATACATATGTGTTTGAGTAGTTTAACATTTTTTTTTTCTCTCTTTTTTCTTTTTTTTCTTTTTTTTTTTTAGTTTATGGATTTAGTGATGTCACACACGTGAGCAAGAAGGAAAGTATTGGCACATGATAGAAATAAATTTTTATGATTCATCTGGATACCTATGTTTTTTCAGATATTGATCTAATTAAAGGGTACCATCTTGGACATTGTTAATCAATTTCGTGGTTCCTTAAATCATTAAATTACTCCTTTTGTGTAGTTTGGAGTTTCTTGTCTTTAACCATAAAGCTACATTGCAGGATTGAACTTCAAGCTTGTCTTTCTGGGTTGTTTCTTTATCAACATAGATACTAGTGCTTTAATCTTGAAGTGGCAGAAATCTCACATTTTATGAAAATTCTTCCCTTACTGGCAGAAATCTCTCATTTGTTTCTAATTTTGAATTCTTCCCCAAGTGGCTTCTTCCTCTACCTCTTTCTACTCCTCCATAAGTGGCTAGTCTCCCTCTTTCTAGGGTTTTGGTGAAACCCTAGCCAAGTATATAGGGTCTTTCTTAGGTTTTTGATTGTTGTAATGATTTGAACAAATTGTATAGTGTTTAAGAAGTTTTTCAATATATTTTTCTTTCATTCTCTTTAAATGTTCTTCTTTTTGTGATTATTGAATGCTTTCCATACAATTATTATCTTTTCTTTCGTATTCAAAATATGTGACGAGTCATGCTATGAGACATGAATCGTGTTGCTATCCTAGTTCAGAGCGAACGACTCGTACTATTTGAGATTATTCGTGCCCATACGTTGAACGCGACAATCTTCTTGATCAATACTTCATGTTTGTAGTTGTGAAGTATTGGGTGGTTCGAACCATAGCACAATCGATTTTCAATTTTAAACCTTATTTATGTAACTAGTGGTGAATTTATTGTCCTAGAATCTTCCAAAATCAGTATCTCAAACGCTACTTTTAATTGTCAATTCAATTTCTAAATTTCATTTTAATTCTTGCTTAGTCATGATATCCCACAATCTTTTTTTATCAAAATTAATTTAGGAAACTAGCAATTAAATTAGTTTAATTTCATAATTCTCCCTGTGGATCGATATCTAGACTTGCCATTATTCTGGCATAGTTTAGCTCTTTATTTTTGGTTTGCAAATGACCCATCATCGGGTCATAGACGGTATAAGGTAAATATTATGAGTGATATAATTTTGGGATTAATCTATGCATTCAATAGTCGGCCCAAAGGAAGACTTATTGTTTATTGGGAGAAGACCACTTGCATATTATAATACTTGTCCAAAAACTTGATTTAATAATGTGTTAGGTTTCTCATGAGGGCCATTGCTAAGGTTTAATATTTTATTATTAAAGTTAATGCCCTATAGTCTAATTAATTGCCTCTTCAATTAGACTATTTTTTTGCATGATAATAATCATTATGGTTTTATTTTTATCAATGCATTAATGTAGATGGGACATTTATTAATTGTAAGATTTATGGTCTTATATAAAGTGAACGCGTTTGCTATATCTGTGAGTTTGAATAGTATTCTAGTTCTCAATTGTTGTAATTTTACAAAATTGAAAAGAACATGTTGCTAGTGTTTTTTGGTGTATGTATT